TACTGAGATCATTGCTTGCTACATTATGTTTTTGGTTTTCTTGCATAGATTCTTACTTCAAGAACCTATGAAATTACAAAAAAAAATCTGAGACTAGAAAAACAGTGTTTTCTCAAACCGAAGCTAGAGAGGACCGGTTTTAAAGGCAATATCAAGATCAGCGATCAAATCATCAGCATCTTCAATGCCTGCAGAGATACGGACAAGATCTTCCGTTAAGCCTCTGGCCTCACGCACTTCTGCAGGTATGCTTGCATGAGACATGAAGCATGGCATGCTTATAAGTGACTTAACACTCCCTGTTGTCAAAGAGAAAGATGTTGGATGAGATCAGATATTATTAGAGTTTCTTCACAAGAAGAATAAAAACTAGTAACTTTTTGCTCTCACCGAAACTGACAGCTATGCTGAAGTATTTGGTAGTTTCTACAAGATGCTTCGATAGTGCAACCGATCCTGTTATAAAGCTAAAAACTGATCCTGCACCCTTTGCCTGCATTTTTAAAAGAGGTAAGGTTATCATGTGTTGAGAACTTAGACTATCGAAGTTGTTTTTTTCGTATATCAGTTGAGTTTTTTAGTACCTGAGAGAAATGGAGATGGTGACCAGGATGATCTGGTAGACCAGCATAGTACACTTTCTTCACTCTTGGATTAGAAGCCAAGTACATTGCAATTTTCCTTGCGTTTTCCTAGAAGATTTAGGAAAGTAAATGGCATTTCAACGTAATTAAAAGTATCATAGACGCCACAAGAGGTATTAAAGTCAAGACCTGTTGCTTTTCTATACGTAACGCCATTGTCTTGATTCCTCGTAGGCAAAGCCAACAGTCGAAAGGAGCTAATCCAGAACCTTCGGAGTTTTGGAGGAAATACAACTCCTTTGCCAATCTGTAATTTTAGCAGAAGGTTGTATAATGAAAGCAGGTTGCAAAGATATATCTCAGATGCTTGAAAACAGAAAAGAGTAAAGAGTAGAGGCAACGTACTTTTCGCCTTTTACAGCAAGCACACCCGCCATCACATCACTGTGTCCGGCTATAAATTTAGTAGCCGAGTGCATCACAATGTCTAGAAAGCCAGACAAGTTAAAAATATGAGTATTAGTAATGAGAACTGAACAAATCTTTTAGCCCATAGTAGTAAGCAAATATGAGTTTTTTTACACACCGGCTCCAAGTTCTAATGGCCGAGAGAGCACTGGTGACATAATACTGTTGTCCACCAACACAAGCGCACCTTGAGCATGAGCCATCTCAGCTATTTTCTACAAAAACAGAAAACCATAAAACCAATTAAGCATAACAGCAAAATAAGTTGATTTCCGCCATGTGGTTTCTGGCTCCAAACTTTGTAGAAACAGAGAATTTACACGTATATCAGAAATTTGTTGTCTCGGGTTTGTTGGAGACTCAAGCCACACAAGCTTTGTCCGGGGACCAATAGCAGCAGCAACCTCGTCTAAATTAGTTGTGTTTACTCGTCTACAATATATCAAATGGAATCATTAATTTATCATGGTTTCAAGATAAAAATTTCTAGTAAAATTTCGAATCATAGGTAGTAATACTAACTTTACCAAAACACCGGATCTTGGAACTACTTGGGATAGTAATCTGTCTGAGCCACCATATACATCATCTCCAGCAACAATTTCTTCACCTATGGAAACAAAATTAAAGATACTACAATGAAACCAAGCCTATGCTGCCAAGCTAATGGAAAGACTTCACATTTCAAGAGATAGAGGTCAATATCGAAAATTACCATTTTTGAGAAGGTGGGTAACAGCAGTAAGAGCAGCCATTCCACTAGTAAAGCAAAATGCTCTATCTGCCTTGTCAAGCTTCGCAAGGAGACTAACAAACAGATAAAAAGAGCAAAAATTACAACATTTCAAAGAAATGTTATACTAATACACATTAAAAATATATCTAATCACCTAGGGATCGAGACGATATTAAGATGTAATACCTTTCCAATGCATCCCGTGTAGGATTTCCACTTCTTGTATAATCATATGGTCCATTTTCTATAGCAGAAGGCTGCAAAATAAAGCAAAACAACAAACTTCAAATCTAAACATGAAGTCACAAAATGTTCTTCGATTCCAATCCCCTCACTCAGTACCTGCTTAAACGTAGCCGTTTGGTAAAGAGGAGTGCTCATTGCATCAAAAGGATCAAATTTACTATCCAAATTCACCAGTAATGTAGAGACACTAGCTTCTTCTTTGATTTCTATAGCTGTAAAACACATCAACAAAATCTGCTTAACTTATGATTATCATTAGAATTCAAGTGCATGCAAAGAGAAAAGAAAAAGAGAGAGATAAGCTCTATTATACGAACCATTTAAGCAATCCGGGGTTTTGTTAACCGGAGACTGAGCTATTCCGTCGACACTCTTCTCCATCACGCAATTCGTCTTGAACAAGTTCCGATTCGAGATCTGCTTCTTGTCCCAAGATGGAAACTTGGAAATGGAAACACAAGTCGGAGAGTTCTTACTGAGCAAACCCTTGAGAGAAAAACAACACACAAAGTATCAGATATCTACCAAAATTGGTGGAATCCAAAAGCAATAGAAATTGGAGAT